AGCCAGCGGGTGAATATTTGGGTGGCAGTTTTAAGCCAGCGGGTGAGGATATTTCGGTGGCAGTCTTAAGCCAGCGGGTGAGGATATTTCGGTGGCAGTCTTAAGCCAGCGGGTGAGGATATTTGGGTGGCAGTTTTAAGCCAGCGGGTGAGAATATTTGGGTGGCAGTTTTAAGCCAGCGGGTCAGGATATTTCGGTGGCAGTCGTAAGCCAGCGGGTGAGGATATTTCGGTGGCAGTCTTAAGCCAGCGGGTGAGGATATCTCGGGTGGCAGTTTTAAGCCAGCGGGTGAGAACATTTGGGTGGCAGTTTTAAGCCAGCGGGTGAGGATATTTCGGTGGCAGTTTTAAGCCAGCGGGTGAGGATATTTCGGTGACAGTCTTAAGCCAGCGGGTGAGGATATTTCGGTGGCAGTTTTAAGCCAGCGGGTGAGGATATTTCGGTGGCAGTTTTAAGTCAGCGGGTGAGGATATTTCGGTGGCAGTTTTGAGCGGTGGCAGTCTTAAGCCAGCGGGTGAGGATATCTCGGGTGGCAGTTTTAAGCCAGCGGGTGAGGATTTGGGTGGCAGTTTTAAGCCAGCGGGTGAGGATATTTCGGGTGGCAGTTTTAAGCCAGCGGGTGAGGATATTTCGGTGGCAGTCTTAAGCCAGCGGGTGAGGATATCGCGGGTGGCAGTGGCGATTTTCCGCCAGGGACGGTGATGATATTTCTGGGCCAGTTGCGCAAGAGGGCACGCGCGCAGCCGCAGCCTGCCCGCAGCCGCACGCGCGCTCAAGCTCGCTTTTCCACTAGGGAACGCATCGCACTTCCTGCCACATCTTGGGCATCATGCCTGTACGCAAAAAGCCGAGAGGACGACGAGGAGGAAGAAGGCGGAGGACGCGGACGGGATGAGGAGGCAGCAGAAGGGAGGAGGAGGAGGAGGAGGAGGAGGAGGAGGAGGAGGAGGAGGAGGAGGAGGAGGAGATGAGGAGGAGGAGGAGGAGGGAGGAGCCGAGAAGAGCTGTGCTCGGCGCGGGCATCCAGCCGCCACGCGATGCGTCATTCGCTTGGTTGGCCCAGCCGACGGCTACGCATCCAGCGCGGTGCTGCGCCCGTATATATGCTCGCCCCTTGGCTTGGGGCTGGCGGGGGGCCAAGGGGCGAGCTGTCCGGTCATTTGTTTCAGCTGTGTTTGAAGATTTGTGGTGTGAGTTTTGTTTTCCGTCCAAAGTCCGCTTGTAGGGGGACATGCCCGACCTCATGCGTCCCTCGATTTCAAAGACCCCCAGCCCGACCTACCAAGCGCGGTCGGCTATATAAGTCCCCACAGCAGGCGCACCTCCTCTGGCTCCAGCGGTAGTTGTACCACGCTTTTTCTTTGGCGAGACGACGCCCTGGAGGCCCCAAGCCTGGCTTCCAACCCTTTCTCGGTAAGCTAAGAATCACCTGATGCAGACTAGCTGGAGCTCTAGAAAGAGCTGGTTACATGTCAGGAGGGGACGCAAACACACAGACTCAATGAACCGCCGATTCCCCAGAACATCTGGGAAAATATGGGAAGTGGGGGGGAACCCCCCAAATATACCAAGATTTGGGGCATCCCGGGAATTGCCTGTTTTTCTTTGTGTGTCCCTGGACCTCTTCGTTCCTGGAGCTTGAGGAAGAGCTGGTGACGTGCACGACCGCGCCGCCACGCGGCCGGCCTCCCTGCCTCCCGAAGCACTTTCCCCAGCGAGGGCGTCTTCAGACACGCCGCGGGCTGGAGGGCGAATTGTGTCCCTTATGCCTCAGACGTCCTCCTCCTCCTCCTCCTCCTCCTCCTCCTCCTCCTCCTCCTCCTCCTCCTCCTCCTCCTCCTCCTCCCCTCTTCCTCCGCCTCCTCCTCCGCCTCCTCCTCCGCCTCCGCCTCCGCCTCCTCCTCCTCCTCCTCCTCCTCCCCATTCTCCACCTCAGACGTGCTTTGACGCTTTTAGTTCAATGGGGAAAAGAGCAATGACATAAACATAGAACTCGAAGGTCCGCGCGGATTTCTATGATCGGCGCTGGACCCCCCTCCTTGGCGCGAGGAGCGCGCCAGGGGCGGCGCCGGAGGCGCCGCCAGGGTACCCTCGCGCCGATCCGAGCAATCCGCGCGGACCTCCGAGTTTTAATGTTTATGTAATTGCTCGTTCCCCTAATCAACGTTACTCCAAATCCCTTATTAATCGTCCCCCAGGTCCGGTTTTTTAAGGCGCCTTTTTTGTAACTGGGGGGGTCCGGTTGATTAGGGCGCTTTCTTTGGATTGGAGCTTAGGGGGTCCGGTTCATCAAGGCGCCCCTCCGAAGAGGGGGGTCTGGAGTATTAGGTCGCACTTGGAGGGGGGTGCGGTTCGGAAGGAGGGTGGTCGATTAATAAGGGATTTGGAGTATCTTCGGGGGCTGTCCGGACTCTGGTCCAAGTCGGACGGCGCAGGAGATCTGCGAGACAGCGTGGGCCGCCTCCAGCAGCGGGCGCCTCCCGACGCGAGCTGCCGCACCTGGGCCACCCGTTCGCCTCTTGGGCGCAGAGGATGCACGCATGGGGGGCCGCCGGACTTCGCGCTCGTCGGCGCTGGGCAGAACCAGCTGCGTTGACAGCAGCGGCGCGGGGCCCAAGGTTTTCCCGCCTGGTGCTGCGGAGGACGAGCGAGCTTTTGCTGTTGTCCCCTGGCTTCCTGCAGGGGTCGTGCGTGGGCAGGGATTGGTCTGGGCCCGTGCCGAGCCTCCTCCTCCTCCTCCTCCTCCTCCTCCTCCTCCTCCTCCTCCTCCTCCTCCTCCAGTCTGGTTGAGGCAGGCTCGGAAGCCAGGTTCTCCCCTGGGCATCTTGAGCTCGGGTCTTGCGTGCCGGGGCCGGGCAGGGCTCGGCAAGGGCTCCGCCAAGGCTGCGCAGCAGGGGCTTGGTATCGCTCGGACGTGTGCACTTTTTCTCGGCGGGGATCATTGAGGAGCATCCTGGATCATCCTGCGAAAAAACCACGCACGAAACCGACCAACAACACAGGGAATGGGCGCCCGAGCGATGGCCCGGGGGGGCATGCAGAGGCTGTGCGAGGTGCTGCTGGTGCTGCTGCTGTCCATGTGACCCGCTGTCTTTGTGAAACCCTCTCGGGGTTCTAGCTCCATGGAGTGGAGGTGCAGTCCTTGCCGATTGGGCCTTCCAGTTTCCTACGATTCGTGGGGGTTGCTGTTCGCTGCATGAGGGGGGAAAACAACAAGAGGCTGTGCGATCTTCGGGCGACCTTGGGGGCCTCTTGGGCCGTCTTGGGCCGTCGGAAGGCCGAACATGCGCAGATACCAAAAAATCCTTCAAAAAACTGAGACAGATCAAGGATGTTGGCCTCTTCGGGCCTTCCTGGAGGACCTCTTGGAGGCCTCTCTGGCCCGTCTTGGAGGCCCCCTGGGGGCCTCTTGGGCGAGACTGCGCAGGGCCGCGCAGGACCGTCTGTAGGGGCGCGCGGGGGCTTTGCAGGGGCGCGAAGGGCCGTGGAGGGGCGTGCCCGGGCGGCGGGGGGCCGCGGCACGGCGGCGCAGAGGCGGCGCAGGGGCTGCGGAGGAGCCGCGCGAGGATCCTCCTCCTCCTCCTCCTCCTCCTCCTCCTCCTCCTCCTCCTCCGCCTCCTCCTCCTCCTCCCCCTCCTCCGCCTCCTCCTCCTCCTCCTTTTCCTCCTCCTCCTCCTCCTCCTCCTCCCCCTCCTCCGCCTCCTCCTCCTCCTTCGGGGTCTATACGTTTTGTCCACCGTGATACTCCACAGGATCCTCGTGCACACGGGAGGGGAGGGGGCCCCGTCCTGACCCCCCTCCTCTTGCGTACAGTTGGGGCCCCTGCCAAGTAACACCCTGCCTGCCCCAGGGTGCCCTGGGTTTCCTGGGATCCGATGGTTTTGCTGTGGAAAGGGTGACGTCCCAAGGCCAACAATCAAGGGACGCCCTTGGGTCTCAGGGTTGGGTTTCTTGTGGTACGTTTCTTGTTGACTGGCCTCCATTGTATCCTGCCTCCACCGGGTACTTGTTTGTTCGATCGCGTCTGGCTCCCTGGAACATGTTTGCGTATGGTTCCAGAAGACGTAGAAGAGATGGGCGCGTTGTTGCGCGCATCGGCGAATCGCGTCTCCCAGAGGGTTGCTTCGTCCAGGCGAACGAAGCAGGTGCCAATATCAGACCCGAGCTTTTCCACGGGGGGGAGGGGGGCGGAACGGGGGCTTCGCCGATAGGAGAACCAATAAAACAACTTCGTTACCCCAGGCAGACATTATTGGCAGCTCGCGCTTGCCTTGGCCTGCCTTCGACTCCTGGTCTTAGCATTGCCTCTATTTGGCGCGGCCGCCCCCATCCATAGCGTGGCCTGTGCTGGAAACGTTGGCGGGCGCCCGGGCCGCCAACCAGCCAACCACAGCGTGCACGTGCACCCCGTGAAGTTGGCACGCGTTTTCGGGTACCGACGTCGCGAGCGTCAACCGCGCGACTTCGCCCAGTACATTGTTTGCCCACGGATGTGTCACCACATGTGTCTGGCGAGAGGAGCCAGCCAGTGGATCCTCATCCGCCTGTTCTTCGGATGTGAGAAGGAAGGCAGCGACAACCTCGACCACGTCGTCACGCGTTTCGCCACGGCATTCAATATATACAAAACGCTCCACATCAACTGCGACTCGACGTGGCGGCTGCCGACCCATACGGCTAGCGGCGAGCCCCTTGACCTCGAGCCGGCTGTTCGAGCCAGGTCGGGACGAGACCGCAACTACCGCATTTACGTCAATGGTGCGGCCGCTGCGCGCCGCGCCCTGAGGCTCGGTCCGTGCTTTGTCAGCGGCGCTGGCGTTCCCTCCCCAGGTCGCGCTCCCTCTGTCTCTCTCTCTCTCCATTTCTGTCTCTTGCGGTTTTCCATCTCCTGCCTCCCCATCCTCCCCCCCTCTCCTCTTCCTCCCCTATCCTCGCCCCCTTTTGCCCCCCCCCCCCCCCCCCCCCCCCCCCCCTCGCCTGCCCTCTCTCCCCTCCCGCAGGAGCTCGAGCGCCGCCGCGCCAAACGCCTGTACCACCTCGCGGACTCGGGCAGCCTGCAGCACGCGCGGGCAGGCGCGCGGGCCTGCCCCGGGCGGGCGCCTGGTCTCTCTGCTGCGCGGGGGGCAGGGGAGGAGGAGGAGGAGGAGGAGGAGGAGGAGGAGGAGGAGGAGGAGGAGGAGGAGGAAAAGGAGAAGGAGAAGGAGGAGGAGGAGGAGGAGGAGGAGGAGGAGGAGGAGGAGGAGGAGGGGGAGGAGGACGAGGAGGAGGAGGAGAAGGGGGAGGAGGAGGCGGAGGAGGAGGAGTCTCCGCCTCGTCCTTCTCCCTCTCCCCTGCCCCTCCTGGCGGCCACCCGTGGCAGAGGTCGTTGAGTGGGCCGGTGGCGGCTGCAAGCCGACACCAGGTGGCCAGTCAGAGACGCCCGCGCACCTTCTCCGTTCTCCTCATGTTTTTGCTCCTTCTTTTGGTCCTCCTCCTTCTCCTCCTCCGCAGGGCTCGTTTCGACACCTCCGATTCGATCCGATTCGATTTCGATTGTTTCCGATTCCGAATCGATTCGACTTGGGCTTCCGATTTGGGTTCCGATTTCTCATTGGAGGCCTACTAGCCTGCCGATTTCCGCCGATTCGACTTTTTCCGACTCGGCTGCCGATTTCCGCCGATCCGATTCATGTCGATCGCCGATCCGACTTATCGATTCGATTCTGCGCTCTCCTGCCTCCGTCCCTCCTCCACCTCATCGTTCGTCCTCCCTCCTTTTGCGTCCACTGGCGGGCGGCGGCCTGGGACGACGGGCGGCACCACCCGACATCCTCGCTGGCGAACGTCGTGGGGCCAACTTCGGGCCGCCAGGAACCAAGGGCCGGGGAGAAGAAGAGACTGAGATTACTGACAGGCCGATCCACAATTAGCTAGTGTTGTTTGCAGGTCGTACGTTGTAACGGTGCACACGAATCACACACAAGGGCAATAGACATGTTGCCAGGCGAACGTGCTGTTACTGTGATGCCGAACTTCTGTGCGATTCGTGTGCAGTTGTTTCCTTCGTTGCGTTACGTTTCACGTCGTTTAAGCCCCAGGTTGCCCTGAAGTTCCAACACCGTCGTGTGCTTTGTTTGCGCGTGTTTTGTAGTATTGGGTTCTGTTGGTGTTTTTTTTATGTTGGCTTCTGCGGATGTCCCTGGATCCTCTTGGAGCCGATCGGGGATATCCTTTGACCTTTCAGGGGCCAGTCGGGCCGTTCGCCCCAGGGCGTATTGGACTCGTTAAGGGGCGCGCCCTTGGGCGGTCTTACGGCCGCGAAGAGCAGTATCCAACAAAACGCATGGGGACGATGTTCGAAGGGGACGAGCGAGGAGGGCTCCTCCCTTTGAATCTGTGAGCTCTGAAGTCGTTCCTTCTCCCCGTCCCCTCTGTGCAATGTGTCCGCCCGCGGTTCACTTCGGCCCGAGTGTTGCTAGGTGAGTTTGTTTTGCTCTTCCCAGTGTTCGGGGAACGGCTGACGCTGGGGCGCAGCTATAGCAGGATGTTGTGCCGACGCGGAACAGGAGATGACGAAAAACAGTTTTACCGTGATCATCGATAGCGACGTGGACGTGATGATCTACAGTCGCCATCTAAACCAGTGCCAGGTTTATTTGGCGATTGAAGCTGGGGTCCGTGACCAAGAGAATAGCGGAGGGGGCCCAAAAAGGGACACACGTACGACGCCGATTCAGTATTTAACGAATTGTAGCTGGCGGTGGGCAGCCAGTTCGATACCCCCGAAAGCGAAAGGCGAATGGTCTGCTCACTGGCGCCATCCTGGTCAACGAGACGTTGCAGGCGCTGCAGGGCGCCAGCATGGACGTACAGGGCATCGACGTCGGAGCCAAGCCGGAACCGAACACCACGGAGGTCGCGTGGAAACACTTGTCTGAGTTGAAGGAGGAAGCCTTCCGACAGACGATCCCCAAGGCGAGCACGTTCGCCAACGAGCAGGACGAATTGTCCTAGGTGATTAAGCTGGCCTGCAGTGTCATCCACGCACCATGGATGTAGTGGGAGCGCAGCAAGAACCACATGACCAACGTCAGGGCTAGCGCTATGGACATGGAGCTGTGCGTTTCGGCCCTGTGCGAGACCGACACCCCAACTGGACCGACAGTTCCATCAATCGATTGCTGATCGGCCGGGAGTTGGTGCACGTCTAGTCTGCGACGCGACAGATCTCCCCACGCGATGGATAGCGAGCGGTTGCGAGCAAGGCGAATGGATCAACAGCTCGACCATCACCAAGCGCGGCGCCACCACTGTGGAGTGCAAGCGAATCCCTGTTTCCCCAAAGAGTGAGTCCGAAAGGCACGGCCTTCGTTCATGGCTGGGATGCGCGTGCGGACGCCGTGCGGCGCTGACAGAAACGGAGGATATGCGCGCGCCACGCGTGGCCGCGCCATGTGGCGAGGCGGGGGTGCCACGCCGCAGATCACGCCCTGCGCTGCCAACGTCCATGCAAAGATCAGCCTGGGAACCCTGGAGTTGGTCAGCGCGGCGATCTACTTGGCGCGGCTGGCCCACGAGAGCGCCGAGGACGGGGCCCGCGCCTTCCGGGGCGCGAGCGGCTACAAGTTCAACGGCGCAGCGATTCTCGGGCGAGGCGCTGGGCGGCATGACGGGTGCTTGCGAGGATGGTTTAGGACATGCGTGAGCGACGAACACCCAGCTGGCGGAGGAGCGCGCGCCTTCTCGTCGTTGGACTGGCCCGCCAACAACAATGGCGCGCGCGGCTCTGTCGAGTCTTCCAGCAGAAGCCCAGGCGGCCAGCGTCGCAGACGGCGAGCCGACGCCACTCTGGCTTGCGCGCGCGAAAGTACTGAGAGCCGACTTGGGGTTGGAGGACGCGAGCGCGGCCATCGCGCGGGGCCCCCTGCCCTGTCCACCACGACCGCAGATTTGCGCGGCCCTGTTCGACGCAGAGAGCAAGAGTGAACCGACTGGACTGGGGGTGGCCGGCTGCCGCTGCCCCATTGAGGTTCTCGCGCTGCGACAGGCGTTCCGCGACGGCGCGGCAAGCGTTGCGCGGGCGCGCCCTGGCCGGCGATGGCCCCGCGAAAGAATTGCGTCGCGCGCGCCGGCTCGCCCGGAAGTTCCTGACCTGAAGCAGCAGATGCCATTTCTGGCAAGGGCATGTTCGGCGGGGCGAGCGCATTTGATCCCGCGGGCAGCCATGGGGCGATCGGCGCCAGGCGTCGCCCTCGCGAGCGCGGAGAGGAGGTCCATGGGCCCTCGCGGGAGGCGCAACGCCCCCCCGCCCCCCTGTCCGCGGATAAGTGGATCCAGAGCGAGTCAGAGATGATTCGCGTTGACCTTTTGTCCCCATGGCCGAATCCACGTGCTCTGGCGCCGCCCCTCCCCCCGCCCCCGTCGCGCAGTCTTCCCGCCCGCGGCTCGCCTCGGCTCGAGTTTATTGTTTGCGTCCCCCGCGCGCTATCTCCGACCGAGCGTTTACTTCGCGAGGCCAGTGTCTGGTGCTGCTGGGCATCCGCGCACGGCGCGTCGCCCTGGAGTTCTCCCGGTCAGTTAGATCCTCCCGGCAGCGCATGCCAGATGACATTATACACGAGAACGCCCCGTTCTTCCATATCGTCGACTCCTTCGATGGCGGCAGAATCACGGACCGCGAGAACAAGGTCGGCGACCTCGAGCGCGCGCTGACCAGCGCGGCCCCATTGCACCTACGGTTTAGCCTCGAGTCCTGCCTGTCCGGCAGGAGGGCGCGGGCGCAGGCTCGCCGCGCCGCGTCTGCGCCGCCCGCGGGGTTGCCGAACGCGCGCGTGAGAGAATCAGTCCGGATGATTCGTTCCAAGTATCGCAGCATGGGCGCTGCGCCCTACGCGACGCTGTCGGATAAGACATCGGACGAGCACCGCGATGGGCGATTGAATGGCGGCATTCTCGGCCCCCTCGGTTCTGGCAGGTGCGAAATCCAGCCGCTCTGCAATTGGGATGTTCTGGGCGACTAGGTTGCCTGCAGTGGCGATGGCAGACGTGACCTGCGCCCATGGTCCATCGTCTGCATCGGCTCTAATCCGTCGCGCAGCAAGTTGGGAATTTCGAAGCAGGGGCCCAAGGCGCCCCTCGCTCACGGGAAAGCCACCTGTTTGGCATCACTAGTCAGAGCGAGGCCGCGCCGATCACGCGCGCGGCGACGCTTGGGCCCCCCTTGCTCGGGGCGGCGCCCGAGGGGTTCTCGCGGCGCTTTGCGCCCCCAACGCAGGCGTCAGCGCACCCTCGCAGCGACGGCTATCATGCTATCTTGGCAGACGCAGATCTCAGGGTCGCGAATGGAGAAACGTTCGCGTTGCCTCACCCCGCAGCGCGTCCTGCCCGAGTCCAAACTGGTTCGATTCTCCGCCGCGCCGGGGTCTATTCTGCTGCGCGCCAGTCAAACTGGCGCCTCTCGCCTGGGCCGCCGCGGCCTGGTCTGCGAGGCTTGCAGCTTATATCAATATATGTATATATACACACTATCTTTCTTTATTTCTCTCTCTCTCTGTCTCTCTTTCTCTCCTTCTCTTTCTATATATATATATATGTGTGTGTCTTTACATATATATATATATACATGCGTATCCTATCTTTCTTTTCTGTCAGCCACTTCAGTTTTCAGGTCCTCTCTCTTTCTCTTTCTCTCTCTCTCTCTCTCTCTCAATATCCCTCTACTTCTCTTGCTTTCTCGTTTGTTATGTAGATGTTGATGGTGTGTGGCCTTTCGTGCGCCTACTTGTGTATCTCTTTCGCGTGTTTTCTCTCTCTCTCTCTCTCTCTCTCTCTCTCTCTCTCTCTCTCCCTCTTTCAATCCCCCAGGTCTGCGTTATTTCGTTATTTCGTTCTCTCTCTCTCTCTCTCTCTGTCTCTCTTTCTTCCTCTCTTTCCCCCCCCCCCCCTCTGTTTCGGTTTGCGTTGTGGCATGCGTTTC